GTCTGTCATCAAAGTGGCATCGCCTGGCACAGAGGGATCTCGTCCCTGGGAAGCAGGGATGGTCCACAGAGCCCCCAGGCTTTGTCACAGTGGGCAGGGGACAAGGGGGGGGCACACTTGGCAGCTTGCGTGGAGGACCTGCTTCTGCTTCCCCGGGGCAGACTCAAGCCACGTTTAAGCAGCCTGCAGAAATATGGGAAATCTGGGCTTTTTGTGGGGCTGCAGACCCTACCGAGCTGATGGGAGAGGGAGGGTGTGAACAGATTTACAGAGCAACCGGCTGTTGAAGGGACAGCTTCCCTGCCTGCCACCACCCTGTCCCTACAACCTTCCTGGGGGCTCCGGCACCTTCCCCAGAAGCCTTGAGCCTTAACACAAAGTGATGTGTGCTTCTTGGGTCGTTTATAACTCAATTAACTCGCCAGAGAGAAGCCATCATCGCCCTTCTGCCACCCTTCCGTGTAAGCGGGGCGAGGTGGCTTAGTGTGATGGAGAAAGCTCCCCCCGCCCTGCCCCGGGTGATTAACGCGTTGGAGGCTTTCCCTGAAGTTTTAAGACCGGGTTTAAGGATTTAAGGAACTCGCAGGGTGGCAATGCCCTGGTTTGCAGAGCTCAATCCATCTGCTTGGGGCTGTCCCCTGTTCCCAGCTTGGCTGGAGGAGGAGGGGAACAGCAACACGGAGGAGGCGTGACACAGAGGTCCCCATGGCCGGTCACCCCCTGCCCCAGCCCAGGGAGCACCACCAACAGGCACCACTTGTGCCCGGCCATCCCATGCACGTGTCACACGTAGAATCATAGAATTGTCTGGGTTGGAAGGGACCTTTCAGATCATCCAGTCCAACCATCAACCTCACTCTGATACAAACCATCACTAACCCATGGCTCTAAGCACTATGGCAACCTGGCTTTGAAATCCCTCCAGGGATGGGGCCTCAACCCCTTCCCTGGGCAGCCCATTCCAAGGCTTAAGAACCCTTTCCATGGAAAAATTGTTCCTGATCTCCAATCTGACCCTCGCCTGGAGCAACTTGAGGCTGTTTCCTCTTGTCCCATCGCCTGTGACTTGGGAGCAGAGACCGACCCCCCCTGGCTACCCCCTCCTTTCAGGGAGTTGGAGAGAGCCAGAAGGTCTCCCCTCAGCCTCCTTTTCTCCAGGCTGAACCCCCCCAGCTCCCTCAGCCTCTCCTCATCAGACTTCTTCTCCAGACCCCTCCCCAGCCCCATTGCCCTTCTCTGGACCCGCTCCAGCCCCTCAATGTCTTTTTTTGTGGTACATCCCACACTTGTCCATCCCACACTGTCACCTGCCTGCTCTGGCATCCTCACAGCCTGGTACCTGCTGG